CTTCAACTCACTATTTTTTAAAAATCTACATTTCTTAATTTTACATGCACTAGCTCAAAGGCTATAATTCTTTGAACTTTGAAAATAACATGAAACTTTAGAAAAAAATATTATTCTTTGTAATTTTCAAAGATACGCAGCCAAGTTGCTTTTTGGTAAGCTTTGTGAAATTACTTTGTGAACTATAAAACCTTTAAACCAAAATTTAAATTTTATCTCCTTCTCCATTTAGATAATCAAAAGCTAGAGTTTGGTGTCAGGGGAATAACAACAAGAAAAAATTTCAAAAGAAAAAATAGATGTTTGCCTTTAGGACAATTAAATGTTCCTATCATTTCACTAACATTATCTATTTATATTTTATTTTTATTAAATCTGCAAGCTAATAGGAGGTGTAACAAATAAAGCATCTGGTTGATCTGGTGTCTACGTTTATAGTATTTTAGTTAACAACTGGGGGAGTGACAGAAAAATAAGCCTATATTGCAAATTAAATATTTTTGTTCTTATGAATATATCATCATCTTTTATATTCTTCATAGGGAATGGAGGTTAGGGACTGTTAATAAGCTCAGAAAAAAATTAATGTCTGTAAACTCTATATAGTAAAAACCTGACAGAAAAAAATGTCTCTGGTGTCTAAAGGGAATGTGGCTTTATAGAAAAATTAACCCAATAGCGTAATTGTTACCAAGGCTATTGCAATGACATCATAAAAATGTTATTGTTATTATTATTTGTTTTTGGTTTCAAAACTATTCTTTGGATTTACGTTATCTTCAGAAACCATCTCCTTTTCCTGAATTATGCTATGATAAATTTTTTAAAAAGAGATTCTTAAAAAAAAGACTATGCTATAGTGTGGCAAATTCGCCTCTTCTCCATGACAACAGATAAAGAAGCTGTAACCATAGCAACAGTAATGGGCCAGGGAGATTAGGGCCAGACTGGAGATTAGGCCTCCAAGAGCAAAGGAAAGAAGTCCTGATTGGTTCCTTATTGAGACCTTATGTGAAGACAAGTTACTGTTGATAGAAAGCGTGGAGGATTAGTAAGAACAAAATTAATTCCCCTGTATAAAGTAAGAAGGCATTCCTTTGTTAAAAACATGTCCCTTCCTTTTCATATAACAACAGTTTAAGTTGTGGTAAAGAGTCCATGATTAATTCTGTTCTGAGCTTTATCTATGCCATCCAAGTCTAGACTAGTCTGTGAGAAGACATTTCCAGAAGCTTGGAGAGAAAAGCATTCATTTGCAGACTGCCATTGCTCTCCTTCTTGGCAGCCCCTGAATGGGTGGAGAAACCAGCTCATTTTTGACATGATATTATCTATAAGTGAGGTACTCTTGGGGAAAAAGAATTTGAAAATTTCTCTCCTGTTCTTTGCAAAGCTATTTTTCTAACTTCTTGAAAATTCTCAGAAAGATTTTTCCAAGTCATCATTGATCACGTTTTGTTTTAAAAAATTTTTTTATAAAAATATCTAGTAAGGATCCTACTTTCTTTAAAACTGTAAGATATATTGGTAGCACCTTTTGAGAAAATGCGCTAGCTATGATTTCACATTGATGCCTTGATAAAGGGGGTATTTATTTTTTAAACAATAAAGTTATAGACATGAGAACGTTTGGTCAAAGGCTATGAATATTTTTCATTTTAAAGGATTTTGCCAAACTGACTTTTAAAAAGATTGTCCTGTTGTAAATTTCATCTGACAGCGTAAACAAGTGCCACACCATGGCCCACACTACAGACTAACATTCTTTAAAGTCTTGCAACTCTAACAGATTTTTTTTAAATAGACATTATTCTGACAGACTTTTTTTAGATTTCATTTGAATGCACATTTCTTTTATTTGTCAGGTTGAACCCTATTTTATAACAAAATTCTTCACAATTGTATTGATTTTTAGACATTCTTTTTACATTATAGATATTAAGTATTGTCTCTTAGATATTTTGCAATTACTTTGGGTCAGTCTTTCCAGAGGAAACAGAGCCTAAACGAAGTCAAGAGGAAAGTAGGAGTTAAGTGAATGGGATGAGCTTCTGAAATAGAGGGAGCCGCCTGTGTGGAGGCCCCAGGGAATTGCAAGTGGTTCAGCATGGAGACAGCATGTTCAGGGTAAGCCAAAAAGCCAAGGAGGGGCCGGCCTGGTGGCATAGCCATTAAGTTCGTATGTTCGGCGTCTCGGGGGCCCGGGGTTCACTGGTTCAGATCCTGGGTGCTGACATGGCACCACTTGGCAAAAGCCATGCTGTGGTAGGCGTCCCACGTATAAAGTAGAGGAAGATGGGCACAGATGTTAGCTGAGGGCCAGGCTTCCTTAGCAAAAAGAGGAGGATTGGCAGTAGTCAGCTCAGGACTAATCTTCCTCAAAAAAAAAAAAGCCAAGGAGTCTCTGTATGAGCTCCATGCAGGCAATGGTCTCTTCTGTTATTCACCACGCTCTCCCCTACACCTAGAAGAAGGGCCAGCTCAGGGTATGTGCTCTGTGAATAGTGGCTGGACAAGGAAAACTAATGAATGCCACTTACCATGGGCACCTACAAGCCTCTGCCCAAAGATTATTTTTCTGCAACAGGAACACACTAGGCTGTTATGCAGGAAGGTTAATGCCCTTGGAATCACCTTCAATCAATGGCAAAAGGGTGGTAGATAAATACCCCAACTCACTTCCCTCAGGGATGGATGAATCAGAGCTTGTGCCGCACTGACTCCCAGAGTCCCTAGTGGAGTTGCCCTTCCATTTCCCACAGTGGTAACTGCCAGATAACTCCCTGCTGCCTCCCTCCCCAGCTCCCCACAGGTACTTCCTTGCATCACCTTCCAAATAAAGTATTGGCACTTAAATCCTTTTCTTAAGGCCTCTTTGTGGAGGAAGACAAACCAAGAAAAGTGATAAACAGGAGCCAGGCCAGCAGGCAGATTGAGAATTTTGGAGTTTCCCTGAGGCAAAGGGTAGACACTGAGGACAAATAAACAGTAAAGTGATATGACCAGATGTGACTTTTCATAAGCTTATTCTCAATTCTATACAGAGAACACATTGGAAGGAGGTGAGTGGAAAGAAAGCAGGGGAGCTGGAAGACAATTGTAGCAGTTCTGATGAGAGAGAATGATGGTGTGGATCTGTGTGTGGCGTGGACGTAGAGTAGATTTACCAGATGTCCAGAAGGGGGATTTCTAGAAGGAGGCACTGAGGGAAGATTCAGGAAATCGGGATGCACTTCCGGTTTCTGAGCTGTAGAGTTGAGAGGACAGTACAGTTGGGTAGACACAACTGAGTTAAACAGCCTAGGAGGGGACGTAGGCCGAGTGGGCAGTGAGCGGGGAGGGAGAGGATAAATCCACATCGGTGTGCCAGCTTGAGCTCTAGATGGTTTGTGGGAGTAAAGGTTTTTGTCAAGAGGCTTAATATCACCCATATTTTTGACAGAGATGCTACATATCCAGGCATCCATCTTTCCCCCTCCCTTCACTACTCCAAAAGATTGACTCACTTGCTGCCAGTCTTCCATTTATTTAAAGTCCTGTGCTGATCAAGAAAACAAGGGGAAATTTTATCTATGAAAAAGGCAGCTAAGACTCTATGGAGCCAGAAATAACCTTGAAAGCTTTCTGCAGTTCTCTGAAACCTCTTTCTCTGTATAACTGGCATGTATTGTAAATTGATAGTGTTTCCGGAACCATTGGGAAATGGAACAGCAGCACCTCCCCCAAAGTGGATTTTGCAGCTAACAGGAGTTTAGTTCACAGACGGAATACTGACTCAGTCAGCCCCCGAGAAAGTGAATGCAAGAACGGAGACTAACTTTGATAAGAACTAGAGAAAATGGCCTACAAAAGCTAGTTTGAAGATTAAACATAGGCAAATGGGTACTTGTGATTTGGGGCTGGAAATCACCTATCAAGATGGAACACATGTTCCCTAGACTTGGGGACTTGAACAAATAAGAAGAAAATGAAGATATCCAGCAAAGATGAATTATGAATTTACACATGCACACATTCAATAAAAAACTTCTATTACAGATTATAAATGCCCCAAATATTAAAAAACCAGATTTCCAATTGTGAATGACTCAGTTATTCCTATGAATAACAGTGGCTAAAGTTTTTATAGATATAATGATACTGGGGCCGGCCAGTGGTGCAGCGGTTAAGTGTGCACATTCTGCTTCAGTGGCCCAGGGTTCGCCAGTTTGGATCTCGGGTGCCGACACGGCACCGCTTGGCACACCACGCTGTGGTAGGTGTCCCACATATAAAGTAGAGGAAGATGGGCATGAATGTTAGCCCAGGGCCAGTCTTCCTCAGCAAAAAGAGGAGGATTGGCAGCAGTTAGCTCAGGGCTAGCATCTTCCTCAAAAAAAAAAAAAAAAATATATATATATATATATATATAATGATACTTTATAAGCATGCTGCAATTATCTATCTTTATGTCTTGTGGCGTTTCTGTCATTTCTTTTACTAGCAGGTAGTCCATGAGAATTATTTCTACTTTTTGTTAGCTCTCATCAACTTAAATATCCTGCGTTTAAATTTTCTGTGGTCTAAAGACTTAAATAAGCTACTTCAAATTGTATCTAAAAGGGTGTAAACAGGCTCTGAGTGGAATCAGGTTTTTAATAATACGTGATTACCTGAGGCATTTATCAATACATGTAAGTCCACGGCTATGTTTCCCTGTTCCAGGCCTAAACAGAACATTTTTTTCTTAGTGTCATGGATCCCATGAATAATAGAAACTGGACAAATGTGCAGTAGAATCAAATATGTTATTAATTAGCCACAGTTTTATACACCACAAGAAATTCTATTATACCTTTGATTCCATTTACTATATCTTTGCTTTCCTTTGGTTTTCTTCATTTCTTTAGAACTTTGGTGAATGTACCATTCTACGTTTACTAATGGTTCCCTCTGCCTTCCTGCGCATTTCCCACCCGTGGCACCCACTCCTCTGACGGCCTCCTCTCCTTCCTCCTTAGCTATCCCAAGCTCCAGTGTCCTCCCTTCTGCTCCCAGAGATGTGGTCCCTGTCTTGGTTTCCAGTCGATTCGTCCGTCTCAGCTGGCGCCCACCTGCAGAAGCAAAAGGGAACATTCAAACCTTCACAGTCTTTTTCTCCAGAGAAGGTGACAACAGGTGGGTGCTACCAATAAAAGTCAGCTTCATCCACTGTCTCTTTAAATGTTTGCTGTGGGGTAATGATGAAAGGAGACCTTGAGCAGGGAGTTTGGAGACCCTGTGAAATCTTTCCTCTGTGTTCTGCACTTTTGACTAAATGGAGATATATCTCCAATGCCTGTGTGGGTTTTTAAAGCAGGATTGTTTAGAGAATCAAATTAAATCATTTGTAGAAAACTTCCTTGAAAAAAGACAAGCATGTGGATACATGATATCAGTTTTTTTATTTCCTTGATTTTCAAGGTGATGCACAGAACAGAATTAGTCTATTTACTGATAGGACAGGCTATGAAAGAAACACTGTGGCTGGCTAGGTTGCAGTCACAACTCTGTCGTTGACATCATGTGATCTCAAGGAAACTATATAACTTCTCTGAGCCTCACTTTATTATTTAATAAAGAGGAAATAATAATACTTACCTTGCAAGATTTTTGTTAGGGTGAAATTAGGTTTCATATATAAAGGTCATGGCAAAGTGTCTAATATTTGGTAAAAGTTGTTGTTACTATTGTTGATTAGGCAAAAATGATCTCTATGTGTGTGGTACAAAGAGTCAATCTACTGTTGTTGTTTTCCCACATTTTCCCCTTAAAATGTTTCACTGATTTTAAGACGAAGCTTCCTTCTAAGACTAAGGCAGATATTGGATAAATTCCAGTTTCTTTTATAAGAATAAACTGTTTAATACTTCTGCTTATTTCTTTAAATTTATTAAACTTACTTATTTTGTATTCCATATTTGATCTTTCTGATGTCTGCAGTCATTGTAAGTCTGATTCAGTGATCTGTTCCTGCTCACTCTTTCTCATAGTGGCTTGTTTCCTCGTATGTTCGGGTAATTCTTGTTAACACTAGTCTTTAGAAATTTATCTGAGGCCAAGTTTTAAAGTCCATTCTCACGGGAAGATTTGCTTTCCCAAAATGAGACCAGGTTAAACAAAATTTTTAAGGTTTATTTTGTTCATACAGGTCTCATACTGATATTTTATTGGTTATCAGAAAGTCCATTCCATTTGGTAACATTTGTTTTCCTGCCACTTTTAACACATCAACTCAAATGAGTAAATGCCGACTTGTGGTAAGGAATTCTCAGAGAGATTGTTCTTGTTGTTTCCACTAAGCTAAGACTTAGTGGCATGTATATTCATTCACCAGTTCTCTTATGAGGCTGATTTGAATTTCTAGTTCACTCATCGAGGGTTGTCCTTTCAGGATCTTGACTGTATGCAATGTTCTCTAATCAGACCTTATACTTCACCTGCACGCTTTTGCTTCCATTTCTCTTCTATTGGTTTCTAAAAGTCCTAGCTTCAGACCTCTTTTGATGGGTAAATACCCTCAGGCAAACATCAGCTCCACAGGTCTGCTTTCTTACTAGGCTATTTCTCTTACTTTGCTGCCAGCACACTCATGAATACAGAAATTTTAGAAAATAAAAGAGATTTTGAATAATTTACTCTGAATTTTAGGTGTGCTATAACAGAAGGGTTTTTCATATGGTATCTAGTTTGCCATATTGTTTGAAATGGAATTTTGTAGTATTTATCAAATGCCCATAAGATTGGTATCATTATTATACATCATTAACTACATTTGAACAGGTGTATTTAAATATGAGCACGTTTAATGTTTAGAAAATTTTATTTAAGATTAAAGTATCAAACCACTCTGTAACCATCTCACTTAGAAGGGATCAGAAAGCTAGGATACTCTCTTAACGGACCTTTCCATGCTATTCCTTAGGCATTTTGTAAGTTTCTCTTCTCCCCCTTAACTTTTGGGATTTCTATATTGCCAATTAAATATCTTCAAGGAGATCCACTTGTGAAAGTTCAGTTTGCTTCAGAGAAACACTATGTTGCCAAATCCTAAGATTCTGTAGAGAAGAACGCCTATTTACAAATGTACCCACAAACCTGCCTGAGCCTCTCACATAGGCAGCGAGTGTCATCACATTCTTCAGTTGATGAGAATTTTGATAGGACAACTAGGATTTTTATAAAGTGCCTGTCTATTGACTTGGCTGAGTACAGAGTTCCATGTCTTTCCTTCCATACTAAACCTCCTCTTATATATCGTCAGTCTGAAGTGTACAACTGTTGGGAGGCAGAGATTTCTGCGATGTGGCAGCTTCTTCTTTCATCCTTGAACGAAGACTGTGTTTACTTTCTATAAAGTTTACCAGCCAAAGGAAATGTGACCTGTTTTATGCATCACATATATGGAATTATTTTGGGGTGGTAGTGGTGGCATAGGGGGAAGTAGAGAGGGAAAAGGAGAAAGAAAGGGAGAGAGAGAGACAGAGAGAAATGACAAGTGCTCTGGTGGGACCCAGTTGTTCACAGAGCTGAGCTCACCCTAATCCCGGCTGGTCATCATTCATTCTTCTGAAGAAGAGTAGACTAGATGGCTTTCTAAGTATTCCAGTCCCTACTGAAGCACTAATAGACAGCATGTGGGGAAAAGCCGGGAATTAAGTACCAGGCTCCTAGTCTCTCAAATTCATGAGTGCTATAAACACAGTGATCTTTAGGGACCCCTCAGGATTCAAAGGGACAATATAGCTTGGGGTGGCCAGAGGGGTATTTAGTTCAAAATTCTGCAGTGTGGTAATTGGACGGAATAGTACAACTTCTCTCATGCTGCTTCTCAGTGCTTTTCTTTCTAGTTGGCAGCAACAAAGCATATCCTTCTTAAGTTTCTATTTTCTTTTACAATTTGACCTGACTTTAAAATAAAAGGAAAGAAATACATGTATACATATAGCTTATGTTCCCTAAGATTATTACCGTGAAGAAGTAGGCATTTGTTTTAGTCTTATCTCTGCAACTATTTGACTCTGTGACCTTATGATGAGTCTAGTAAGTTCTTTGGATCTCAGTTGTGAAAACTGGAGGTAATAATTCTTGCCTAGTTGCCTTCATATATCCACATGGATTTCCTGGAGGGACCTTAAATTCAGCCTGTCCCAAATCATATTTGCTGTTTCCTCCTGAAATATATTTTTCCTTTCTTTTCTTGGTTTATATTTGTATCTTCCATCCTGTTGACCAAGCGAAAAAACCCGAGTCATATTTTACTCCACTCTGCCTCTTAGCACTGCCATTAGTTATCAAGTCCCGTCAGGTCTTCCTGGGCCACAGCTCAGCCAAGGCACCTTTATTCTATTGCCTCCATCATCACTTACCTGATCTCTGACAATAGGTTCTCAACTTCAAATTCATCCTTCTCAGTGTCTCTAGTTATCTTTCTGAAATACAGTTTGGATCACTCACTGCACTGCTGAAAAATGTGAATGTTCTTGAGTTTAAATATGGTAAAATTCCAGTATAAAGATATGCACATAATAACTTCCAAACTCCTTTGACTAGAAGTCTATTACCAATCTATCTGTAGGTAGAGTGTGGTTGCTATAACTTATAATAGTTAAAAATATGCAACTTAAATCCAAATGGCTGCATTGGAAAATGGTATAACAATTTATCGTATGTATGACTTTTGTGTGTTTAATTTGTAAAAAGCAAGAATAACATCTGCTATAATGGATAAATGGAAGATAAATTCTATCTCTCAGACTTACTGTGAGAACTCATTGAAAAACTTCAAGTAAAGCATCCAGGACAGTCACTGCACACAGGCAGAATGAAGGGGCTCAGAATAGTGCAAGCTCAGAGACAATATGGAAAAGAGGCTGAAAATAAAGCTCAAAGGATAGGAAGGAAAATAAACCATTTATTTTCATAACTCCTCAATGTTTCCTACTTAAAATACCATTTTATCCTTTCCTCATGTATTGACATCTTTCTTATCTTTCAAGCCCAAGATCAATCCTCCATTCACCCTTGGCTATTCACTCCCATGGTCACACCATGGTCCTTGTCAACATCAATCACTGTGACCTCTCCATGATCTCAATTTCAAACATCATACTTGGATCTCACTCTTTAGACTCTCATTTTCCTATCTTCCATTTAGGGCTCTGATTATAATAAATCTTTGATTCCACAGGGACCTACAATTCATTAATTCTACATTGTTTTCATTGTCCCTCATCCTTGATGTTTTCCTTCACTTTTTAAACAGCTGTAAATCCGGTGGCTAATTATTATAAACACTGACATACACCAATGTTTTGCATGCAGTCTCTCATTTCATATTAATTTCTTGGCAAAACCCAACTCAATTAAATGCAGTTTTCTACCCACTCTTTGCTTGCACTCTTGTACGTGAATATAACTGGAAGAAAATATATAACTGTGCTGACTACTCTTTAAATTCATAACTACTCATCTTAAGTTGCCCCTTAAAGCTGTTTGAAGTTAAATCTTCTATGTCAATAATTGGCCTCTCTCACACATGCTGCTAATGATATTTCATGCCTTTTCCTTTCTCCTCAAATCTCTGATACCTTCTGTCTTTCCCTCACTCTTAGCTGACTTTGCTTCTAATTTCCTGGAAAATAGTATAATCAGAAGGGAAGTTCTACAAACTTCCATATCTAATTTATCTACCCAAATGTGTCCTTAAGCATGTAATATCTTTCTTCAAATTTCTATAAAAGAACTGCCTATGCTCTTTACCAAGGCCAAACGTTCCCTTCTGCACTAGATCTCATCCTTTCTAGCAAACAGAAGAACCAAACTTAAGCCATTCTTTCTCTCTCCTCCTCCTCAATTTTTTCCCACTCCAATGAATTGTGTCCATCAGCATACAAGCATGCAGTTGTATTTTCCATCTCAACAAATTCCCCTCCATCTGTTTCTCTCTCATCTGCCATTTCATTCTCTGTTCCCTTTTATAGTAACATTCCTTGAGTTATCTAACTTCACTTCAATACCTTATCTCATATTCCAGTTGTGATTCTGTCCTCAGTATTTCACTGCAACTGCTCTTACCAAGGTTCACCAGTGACCTCCATGTCGCTAAACCCCGTAGTCAATTCCTGGTCCTCACATTG